AGGACTTCGAATCATCTAATGCGAATTGCTTAGAACTTCACAATTTTATAACCCTAACAAAATTTCATATTTTTTATTTTCATTGATTGTGAACTTATTATAATTAAATGGGAGCAAGTAACAGATTATACTATATGAGCATTCACTAGAAGCAATTCTTTGTTTTGAAAATTGTGCTTTTATTTTTAATAACAAAATAGTATTGGACTTACCCGCTTCCATATATGAATAAATTCGTCAGTACTTCAAACAAACTAGGATATTTACAAATGCTACAAAGTTTACACCAACAAGAGGTTGCAGTTTCTATATATATATATATTAGATTATACAATATAAAAGAAAAGCACATCAAGAATCTGTTGAAGACGCGTTTGGTATAAATGCACTGCATTGACCTAAATATGGCTGCATAATTAAACTTTTAAAGTTCTTCCCATTCCGTCACATCAGCAGAGACTCCCCTATACACAGTGTTACATTTGGAGCGAGAAATACCCTAACCATGGCTATGGGTCACTGAACGCCTTATACTCGAGTATTATACTTGATAACCATAATTGATCCACTTCCCAGCTATAATACACCAATAACGGCAACATCCTAATATGTAGCTCAAAGCGAAAATCGAAAATGGAGTTAGAAGCGCGTCACCGCCGGGTCCTCGATTCAAATAAACAGTTTAACTGTATTTATTAAAATGTTTAAGTGTTGCAAATGTACCTTTTGCGCATAAACTAAATTAACTATACTAATTAAACAGTTTAATGAAACAGGTACATGGTTTGCTATTTTCAAGCAAATTAGTTTAATACTATATTACTTTCAATTAAACTGGTTCCAGAAAATTCACTTCACTTAAACCAAATAATTTAGCTACTTGGAGTAATTAGAAAAAATATTAGGGGTAATACAAATTTTTCAGAACAACTAATTAATTGTCCCCGTTTTCTCAGTGATTCTTAGCACATTCTATTGATGTGCGGTATGTTATTCATGCAGGTGTTCGGAACGTGATATCGCTATTACAGGACATTCTTAAAACACGCAAAGCAAGTGATTTTGTTTACTAGGCTACTATGCTCATCCGTGCATTCCAAGTCTTTGAAATTATGTTTAGGTACAATGGCAAGATCGCGGTCTCAAGGTTTATTTTGGCGGTTTATTCGTACTTTTTCCTGCTTCAACTAAGATCGTACAGTTCATTTTAATATTCATCAAATATTTAATTACATGAATATTCATTTTGTTACACATCAAATATTTAATTACATGAATATTTATTTTGTTACGCGGCCAAGTCACGACATCTTCTTGCTTATTATTTATCCGGGCTTGAAGGTATTATAAGTACCGAGGCAAAGCTTGGCGACTAGACTAACTTTGATCAACACAATGCCTGTCAATCCTCCATTTTGAAAAACGTATTTTTTACGTTCCAGGGTTAAAAAATACCAATAAAATGCATCAAATTGCATTCTATTAAAAAAAGTTCCCAAAGTGGCGCCCAGCCGCCATTTTGAACTTTTCATCTGCCACTTTTTACAGTAAATAGAGCATCGATCCTAGTATCGTCCCTTGCAGAATGAGTTGAAGTGGATTTTAAGAGTTTTTATCCGCTGAGTCAAATGTTTTTGATGAATCAAACAGCAATGATATTACATATCGACCATGGTCAAGATTCTCATAGATTCATTCAAGAAGATGGCAATAAGCAGTTTCCTCAGATTTTTATATTTAAAACCATGGTGGGAAGCAGAAATAATTTTCTTACTCTCGAAAAAACAACATATCCTGTTGTAAACGATGCTTTCGAAAATTTTGGAGGTTATGCTGAGAGTAGAAATCAGTCTGGAATTATCAATGTTGTCTAGCTCACCTTTTTAATGTATTGGCACATCAAGTTTTCATTGAGTGTTTCAGGAGCCGGAAAAAATGGATTCATTAAATAAATAAACCAGTTGTTCAACAATATCCTCTATCAAAAACGCTGATTAGGTTGAGATTTAATCCAGTCCAGCCGGATGAGTTTTTGTTTTTGAGTTCGTTCGTAGTTTCTAGAGTTTCATCAACAGTTATTGGGTAAACAAATTGACTGCCCATTAAATTTAGTTGAAAGGGTAAGGAAAGTTGGATAGTTTGAAATATTGTTGGATATAACCTCGGAAAAGAAGCAAAATATTTCGCTATTTGGTTTTTATCAGGTACAATACCCCCATTCATATTCAGGATAACACGCCTAGCTGGTAGCTATTTTCCATGTTTCTTGGGACTTGGTTTCAGAGGTCAGATCAGGCTTTCAGGAAAAGTCAAACAACTTGAAACAGAGCTGCTAACTGTTTAAAGCGGTGGAAGAAAAAAGTTCTATGTAGGGACGCTTTGAAGAGTAAAAAAAAACACACACACACCTCACTTGTCCAAAAACGGGTACTCTGTCAAGAGTATTTTACTCTTCATGTGGAAGCCACAGGGGCATATGTTTCCGATTATTCCACCTAATGGCCGGATATGTTGACCTGTTCAAAAAATGTTTGAAAAACGCTTCAAAGAACTGTATGTTAGGTGGCTCTATTAAAGTAACAGGAATATTTAAACCGAGTGTCAATAGCCTAATAAGCGGACTTTCAGTCTTAGAGGAAGTGTTCTTTATCAATTATCATGAAACATCAGAAAACAAAGTTGAAAATAACTGGTTGATTTCGTGTGGCTTCGAAATCCTCGCTTAATTCGTTTTCTGATGGAATTTATTGGCAGTAGACACGTTAAAACACCGAACAATATTGAAACTACCAATATGTCGCGACCTTATCACTTCTAATTGGCCAGTTTGCTGCATATCGTGTAATAATGGTTAGTGATAACTTCTCACATTGCACATGTAACCATCTTGAATTCGTTTTTGAAAAATAAATTGCAAATTATATTTTTTTACGTAATTAATATACTGATATTGGATCCAATAAACCGTATTTAATAGCTTATGGAATGCAAGGATTTGCATATATTTTACGATAAACCAGAGTTATGTAGGTCAAGGGTTGTTTAGCAATTAATTATGACATTTTTGAACCAGTTCGATGGAGGAATGAGAGACTCTTGATAGTATAGCGGGGACGCACCTACGGAGGTATTACGTAAAAAATCAATATGTCATTAAAAATCGGTATAATATCAACTTGATAGTTCATTCCGCACTTACTCGCTATGCGCGCCACCTATGAAGGAACGGCACATCGGTCGTCATTCCGGCAATAGGGTAGAACATACCGCTTAGGCCATTGAAGCTATGAAAGGCCCCCACTAACCCCATCTCTGAAGCAGATCAGCACATCAGAGCCAAATCATATAGCTCAAGCGCCACGACGTTTAGGCAATACACACAGCTACTACAAGTGAAATGAAGTGAATGACAGCTCGTTGCAAGGTGACATTTTTTCGGAAAAACTTATATGATGTCATACTGTTATTGACATTTTTCGCGTAACTGACTGTTAAGAGAATCGATGAATTTTGCAAAAATTAATCTCTTAAATTGTGTAAGTTCGGCTCAGGAACAAGAACAGATGTTATAATCTGCAACTATAGGAGCCATGCTTTCAAAATGCAGCGGGGAAGTCGTGTGATGCCTTATTGAAACTCCTTATGGGTACTTTGTAACCCCATATATAAAATCACTATCTTTCGGAATGTCGGACTGGCATGTTGTCAAAGTTGAGCGATTTTGTACATTTAATTGTGTATTATTTGCTAACTAATCATCAAAACGTTAGAAAAGTGACATACTTTGGCGATTTTTTTAAAGTGGAGTGTTTCATATATGGTATTATCAATATTCAGATAGATTCTTCCAAGAGAAGAGTAAATCATTGAATGGGGTGTTGTTGACTGGCTTTCACTCTATACCTGGTGTTCCAAATTCGACCTTCACCATTGAGATCTCGGAAAGAGATACGCAGTCGCTTAAATGGGAACAAAGTTGCGTAAACTAACAAACTTCTTCCGGAGGTATACGAAAAAAGCAAACTTTGTCAAAATCGTTTTAATTTTTTCCTGACTTTGTGGTGGGATTTCAAAATAAATTGCATATCAACATTGCCACTTTTTCTCCTCTACAAGATGGTATAATAAGAATTTCAATATGACGTTTCGTCTCGTGTCCTTCAGCATCAACTTTATTTTTTCTCATAGACGCCATATTGAATTCTTACTTAGGTGAATAGAGTTTATAATTCTTATTCCCAAAATGTATGATATGTCTTTCATTGACATTGCTAAACCAGTTATTTCAGAAAAACAGAATTTCCTAGGCGGGCCTTGGAATTGTCAGATAGTCATTTGTTTCGTATACCAGACCAGACCTCAAATTGGACATAGTAATAGAGTTTGAAAGACTGAGAAGGGAAATAAATCCAGCAGTGAAGAATGTGTAGAGTCAGGCCTTGCCTATAAAATAGCGGACAAGGTTTTGAACATCAATTATGATTTGTCAAAGTTTATTTACAAATATTATTGTTATTGCCATAAGATATTCATTTCGTGATCAGATTTCACCTACTTTTTTTTCCTTACAATTTTCGTTCCACCAACAAATTCATGGCCAACTAAGGAAATATATCACTGAATTTGGGACTGAATGCTCCATTTAAATGTACAGATTTCCAGTATAGCAATCAAATGATAAAACAAAGTTGACAGAAGAAACCTCTAATTGAAAATTTGACTACGCCATCTTGCAGAGGAGAACAAGTCTCTCTCCGGAAGTACTTTGGATTTCGAAACTTTCTGAACGCCATTTGGTTACCTACTTTGCTTCCATTTAAGGGACTTTGTATCTCTTACAGTTTCCAAGATTTCAATGGTGAGGGTTTAATTTGAAACAACCGGTATACTGGGGTCATATCTCGCCAGTAGGTCCTTGCAAAGAGCTTCAAAAGTGCCTAATGTGTGGACGCCTGGTATCTTATGTCAAAATGCTCGCTTTGCCACCACGTACATGCTTCATGCAATTTAAAGAAATCACAGCATATCTAGCAATAACAAAACTATTTTCATTTTTTTCAGCATTACATTCCACAAGCAGTCGGAAAGAAAGCAAACGTGCGTCGCGTAGAGACTCTCACGTGTCATCCCCCGATACAACAGCAATTGATGGTTTTATTGACTCGGGAGGGACCATTCATCAACGGCGAAGGGGTAAGTTATCACAAACATCTTTCTTAATACGAGGGTGTGTCAGAGTTTTTATACTTCCCAAATCGTATTAGTCCAGGAACTATCCTCGCATCTGCATTTTTCACATTATTACTCAAAAAGCACCTCTTTTAATGAATTTGCATGGTGCTGTGGAGCTATGAGAGGATATAAGATAAAGTAGTAAGGGAATAAATGTGCCCGTGACATGCGAATATTCGCATGTTACTTGATATTCGCATTCTCATTCGCAAAATTCATGCGAATATGAATATAAGAAGATGATAATATAAAAATAATATTACGTAGTTGAATAAAACAAGAAAAACGGGTTTATTTTTACTTCCTACATCAAAACTAGCGAGGAAGTATTATAATCGCGAAAAATTTAGAAAATGAAATATTTTGTTTTTTGGATGACTTCGAAGTTGAGTCATTTATTTTAACAGTGAGTAGATCTGATCAAAAGAAATGTTTTTTTTCTTTACCATTTTCCTGGTAAAATTAAAGTAACAAAGTTATAGCCCTTTGGAAGTTTGAGTACCGCCCTGTCTCAATAATAATATTATGTGCTCGTGTTTGGCGACAACGGATATAATCCGCCGTATCGGTTCATCGCATCGGAAACAAAAAAACGAAAGAATTTGGAACGATGTTTTTACAATTATTTCATTCATTTGTATACAGTCATTGTCAGTGAATAGTGGTATCTGTTGCGTGGCTCAAACGAAATAAAAAATGGCACATGTTTATGCGGATCGGTTTCCCAATCGAGTGCAACCAACCCCTCGTGCCTTTGTTAATGTAGTACAACGGGCTCGTGAATCAGGTGACTTAAGACCTCACAGGCATGCCGGTGCTCCAAGACCGCACGATCAAATACAGGTCCACACTGAAATACTTGTCGGGAGGATACTTTATAAAACAAGGTAAACATTTTTTTTTAATTTTTTTTTTATTTTTACACACATATTTTGGTTTATCTTCCTTCTAAAATCATTATCTGAAAATTAATGACTCAACTTCAAAGTCACCCAGTACATACAGTCAGTGTCGTCAGTCGGTAACGCGTGTGAATAGTGTCTGTTGCGTGGCTCAAACGAAATAAAAAATGGCACATGTTTATGCGGATCGGTTTCCCAATCGAGTGCAACCAACCCCTCGTGCCTTTGTTAATGTAGTACAACGGGCTCGTGAATCAGGTGACTTAAGACCTCACAGGGGACCTCACGATCAAATACAGGTCCAGACTGAAATACTTGTCGGGAGGATACTTTATAAAACAAGGTAAACATTTTTTTTTATTTTTTTTTTTATTTTTACACACATATTTTGGTTTATCTTCCTTCTACAATCATTATCTGAAAATTAATGACTCAACTTCAAAGTCACCCTGTACATACAGTCAGTGTCGTCAGTCGGTAAGGTGTGTGAATAGTGTCTGTTGCGTGGCTCAAACGAAATAAAAAATGGCACATGTTTATGCGGATCGGTTTATCAATCGAGTGCAACCAACCCCTCGTGCCTTTGTTAATGTAGTACAACGGGCTCGTGAATCAGGTGACTTAAGACCTCACAGGGGACCTCACGATCAAATACAGGTCCGTACTGAAATACTTGTCGGGAGGATACTTTATAAAACAAGGTAAACATTTTTTCTTATTTTTTTTTATTTTTACACACATATTTTGGTTTATCTTTCTTCTACAATCATTATCTGAAAATTAATGACTCAACCTCAAAGTCACCCTGTATATGTGCATGCGAATATCAATATCAGAAGAAGAGAATATGAAAATAATATTACATAGTTGAATAAAACAAGAAAAACTGTTTTATTTTTACTTCCTACATCAAAACTAGCGACTTAATAATAAAAAGATATCAAGATACGGTTTTTGCAAGCTTGATTAGACATGATTTAGATACTTTTTATAAAAAAATCATATCCATGCATTTAATTTTTTTGAGAAAATCAACCATTTCTGTCGGAATATCGAAAAAAGCGCTCTAGCGCCCACATGTGAAACTAAAAAAACATCAAATATTATAACATTTGTAGCCCAAGAATAGCTCTTTTCAACTAGCCCAAGATTGTTAAAATCGGCTCAGGCGTTTCGAAGATACACGTTGATTTTTACGGAAACCTTTGAATACCCCCCAGCAATGTATTTTTAGAGATACAGCAAATAAAAAAAACACAGTATATTCGTCTTTATAGATCAGGTAATTTTATTTTAGGTTCATATAGCGGAACTCACAGAAACATAACTGTTTTAGATTCAAGATTGCAGTTACGCCCTCGAGGCCATTTCAGAAACTTGAAAATATTTTCCAGGTTTTTCTCTTGGCCATTTTAGTGAGAACTTTTTTTGCCGCAAGCCTCTAAGATGGAAAGTTCCCAGATATAGTACCCTTCATTCCTAGTTGGCCACCCTGTACATCAAGAAGGACCGTCTCACTAATTTCTGTCGGTCTGTCGCTCTGCCTGTCTATGTGTCTGTCTGGAAATAACTGCTCGGATTTTAATGGAATTTTTTTTGACAATGTTACTATAATGTCAAGCACGAAAAAGCTTAAGTTTTTTGACGTTTCAGAGGATCTTGATCGTTTTTAAATAAAATGAGGAGTGAAAAATTAGGGGCTGGGTGCGGTAGGGGATGGGAGAGGGTATATCTCAATTTTCTTGTTTAGATCAAGTACAACCTTTGATGATGCTGCAAGTTGCTACGCTACACATTTTATATCCGTCATATCTAAACCGCTGCACACATCTTGGATCTAAATAATATTAATCTACGGTTGAGGTGACATGTGGGGAGGCGCCGTCGGGCTAAAATACCGTTTCTTGTAATCGATAAATAAATAGGTAAATTATATATGTCCTTTAAACGCGCTTCTCGATCACTAATAATTGGTGATGTAATCGAATAAACATGTTATAAGCTGTCATTTCCAGGGCAGCTATGAAAATATTATTTTTTTTGAAATAATCAAGGTTTGTCAATGTCAGTGTATGAAATATTATACATTTTGGAATCAGAATTAACAGCTGTGCAAAATTCCAATACAGCGTCCATAAGAAAAAATGAAGTTGCTGGTTGAGGATAAGAAACGTCACATTTAAATTCTAATTATGCCACCTTGTAGAGGAGAAAGTGCAAGAGAAAAAATAATAATGATTTTGAGAAATTTCGGGTTTTTCGTGTTAATGTTACTTTATTTTGAAATTCCATGTCAAGTAAAGTCAGGAAAAAAAACGCTTTCTTCGGTTTGTTTCATCTGTCTCCGGCAATATTCTGAATTGCAAGACTTCCGAGATCCGAATGGTGATGGCGGATGTGAAACACCCGGTACAACGTTAACTATGATATTCTCATATTCTTTATTAGCCCTACTTGGTTTTCGGCATCTAAATCTTTTTATTGCACCTAAATTCAGATAATTCATGTAAAACATACGTGCAGTTCACCATTGACATAGACAATGAATTAGTGTAAACAGTGTTCTGATAAAATTTGGTAAAATGCCTGTTAAGGCAAATATGAGATTTTAGTTGAGATCACATCTAAATATATCATTTTTGTATATTTGATGAACTTGAAAGTATGTATACCGAATAGGTGTTTTATCGCACCACGTGTTATACAAGCTCTTCAAAAAGATTCCCCCACCTATTTTATTTTAAAGGCATCAAGTTAAGTAGCTGAAAGTTGAAGTCTCATTATAAATGTGAATTTAGTTGTTTCGCACTATGTTTTAATATGGATCTAAAGTAGGAAGTGTTACGATCGCACGCTCATAAAAAAAAGCTGAATATTCGAAAGTTTGTGATTTTTTTACAAAAATGCCATTATTACGATATTTGGGCTTTTAAAGAACAATTAAGTGGCGTCAAGTAGATTGACTGTATACTTCATAGGCCTTCGTTCGGAGGTTTCAAATCGTTCGGATCAGGGAGGTTCACTTAGGAAAGACGAATCTTCGACCTCTGTATATCAAACTGTTTACATCCATTCACCGCATACAGCTTCCAAACTACAATTTCCATCCCCTCCCAACAATGTCTGAAAATGAGCAGGAATTTCTGAAACGTTTTTAAAATTTTCGGCTACCTAAACGACGGAAGTATTAAACCCGCGATAATATTCGAACTTCGGTCCACAAGCTTTCTGCTGCTCAAAGGTGTCTGCACCACACAAGTCCCTGTTTCTCATTTATGTCAGTTTGTCAGTCCGTGTCTGTTGTATATCAATGGCGTCATAAGTACTGAGTCAATCTACTTGATGAACTATTCAGAGAACCATCATAGACGGAATAACACAAACTAAAGGTTAGGCGAAATGGGTGGTACATTAAGGGATCGTAAAATTCAGATCATTTAAGAAAGCGTAACATAATGCTAAAGTGGTTTGTACTCCAAATATCCAAATATTGCTAAAATAATAAATATTTCTCCTGTAGCTGTATATCAGTGAGGACACCACCGCAGACCAGTTGGAGTTTGATATCCATTGCACAGTCGGCAGTGGGTTCCACGATTGCCAAGTCATTTAATTATACATCGGATTTTCGTCATTTAATTTTCCCGTTGTTACCGGGATCAGAAGGTTCATAATGATAGAACGTCTTTGACTAATACTAAAGACGTACATTTACACCCACCTACCCCCTACAGCCCCAACCCCCAAGTTTTCTTGAACCTCTGAAAGGTCAAAAAAACGATTATTAAACGATTTTTTTTGTGTTTTTCCCCTAGCTCGGCCTCCACTAGACCGTTTTTCAAAAACTACAAAGCTCTTTCATCCTTGGCATGGTAGTAGCCTTGTGTGAAAATTACATCAAAATTCGACCGGTACTTAATCAGTTATAGGCGGTTATGAAATTAGCGGAGAGGCCAACAGACCGACAGAGAGACCGACAGACCGACCGAAATGCGTGACATGGTTTTTCGTGATGTACATGTTATATAAGGTCCAAAAAACATAATATCTCAATTTCGAAATTTTCCGCGATACAACACTTCCTCGCCTGTTTTGGTATAGAAAATAAAAATAAACTGATCTTTCTTGTTTTAAGTACGTAATATTATTTTTATATGGTCTTCTTCTGATATTCATATTAGAATGAATTTTGTGAAGGTGGATGCGAATATCAAGGAACATGCGAATATTCGCATGACACATGCACAAGTATTCCCTCACTAGAGTCCCTGTGGGCCCCTTAGGCATTCGTGCTTGTTTCAAGTATGATAAACGCCATTTTATTAGTGCTCTCCTAATCTTTTATTCTCAAAGCAGAATCTTTATTTTATTTTGTCGTTATAGCAAGCTAACAAAATAAGCCATAATTTATGGCGCTCAATTCAGTTTTGACCGTCAAAAAACTCTTCGGTACTTATCTCAGTTGCTTCCAATTTTCGAGACAGACAATGCTTGGGTCCGTCCTCTACGCGAAGGTCTCAAACAGATCGTTGATAATGGTTATGCGTTCATTTATTTTAATTATCACTATCGATACAATAAATATATAAGGAATGATTCACGCGCAGAGTTAAAATGCCAAGGATAAAACGCTGGGAACGACAGACAGGCAAGCAAGGATCGAAAAAGCACTTCGTTTGAATACCATTATCGCATGTCACATGCTAATAATGTAATAATCTGGAATGGGGAATATACATGAGTTAATAGTCCAGGATCTCATATGCTTGCCATTTTGTTAACAGACTTACGACATGGCCGACATAATAATAATCGGCTGATATGACGCCAATACGCCCGTATATGCCCACCGATATACGAAAGTCATAAAGTTAGTAGTAATAATAAATAATAATAATTTTATAATATAATAATTGTACAAACATAACTAAAACTATATCCCATTCGTAGTCCATTTTCGCCCGCACAATACACAACATGCCCAAAAGCGAGATTTTACAGGTCCGTATTTTCCTCAATGGTCTTGGAATAATCTAACAAGATAAATGATTATTTTTATATTCACTGGAAGTACTTGAATCATTGTCCGAATGGTTAATATTAATTACTACAGGTTCAATTTGAATATCGATCACATTGTTCAGATCCCACATCCTTGTTTCGATTGTCTCTTGAATGTGGCGCATGCAATCTTTCCGTCACTCTGTCGACAGCTTCATAAAACAAATTTTTCACGTTAGAAAATTTGAATGCTCTATTGTTTGAAGCCACATATTCTTTTTATATTTGCTCAAATCATTTCAATGGGATTTCATTCGCAGTGATAAGGGGGTAGCTTTAAAACGGTCTTATTTTGGTTTTTAGCCATTTAGTCAATAACATTAAGATTATATTTATATTTGTGCTGCCTAACTAGATGGATAAGTTCTGTTTTGACCATATTTTTATTGAAACTAATGTCTTTTGGTAGGAGCCACTGTTGAATTTCAGCCTTTCTTGTGGACGTTGTGGGATTTTTTTCTAGTTTTCTAATGTGGTATGCAGCATTATCAACTACAACGACGGCATTGTCATCAAACTTTGGGAGCGTTTCTTAAAACACTCATTCATATGAACCCCGTCCATTTCTTCAAGTTAGTCTGTCGTTTTCTTTGACTCAAATGCCCATAGGGCAGTGGGCACAAAGGCATCTTCACTGCTAATGTGACAGATAACAAATCATTTTCCTTTTCCTGGAAATATTTATATCATACGTAGAATCCAAGAAAACGAATAATAATACAAGCAGAGTATCTAACAGGTGTTGGTTCCAAATCTACCAGATATAGCCAAGTCTAGTGTATCTAAGTTTTCAGAGTGGGCTCATAGATTCAGTCTACATGACACCATTTTTACAACACAAATGACGAATTGGTTAGATACGTACCTGACGGATTCTTTAGGCCAGTGGTTAGTCCATCTAACAAGACTTATCTTGCTGATTTAATTGTAGAGTCAGCCCATACTTTAGGTTTTGTATGTCCTGCATTTATCCAGGTTTCAACCAAGCAATACATCTTCCTGCCCTGGTCTTGGTATTTCTTTATCGATTTTAAATAATTTTCTCTCAATAAAATAATACTATTTATGTCCCGTTTTCTATACTCAAAATGAAGTTTTTTGAGTAAACTATAGAATGTGGTCCTTTTGAAAGTAGGTAAGTTTTCATCAGTATTAACCTCCTGTAATACTTTGTCTATGGTGGGAAGTTCCTGCTTTTCAAAAAAATGATGTTTATATTCTTTAATAATGTTGAAAATTGTCTTAGGACATACGCCTGTTTTGTTCGCTACACGTCTTTTAATATCATCAATTTTCGTTTCAGGATACTCTAAAATTTTGCTCTTATAAACGTTAAGGACAATTTCTTTTGCCCGAATATTCAAATATCTCTTTTTTTCACGTTTTCGGGGAGGAGACGTCACTGAAGAGGAAGCATGGCTTGAGGAAGCATTGAAAGAAATATTCTCAGTTTAATCTGGTGTATCCGTAGACGACATGCTAACGTATAAAATCACACGCTATGTATGCACCCAATATGAACAGCAACTGCCGGCGTTGGCGAGCCGGCGATACCCCGAGCCTGAGTTATATCCTGTCGAGTCCTGCACTTGTTCGTAGTTTTATTGCCGAATCACCAATAGCTACTGCAACGCTTAGGCGGATGCCGCTTTGCCGCGCTGTATCTTTGTTGTGCAGGGGCATCAATGGACTACGAATAGGGTATACGTACGTCTACACTGCACAAGGTGTTCCTTAATGATATGAGAATATTTAAGGGTGTGAATCTACATGAAAAATTAATGTTAGTTTGCTTTATAAACTATGGTACACAAACGTTTCCTTACAAAAACTCGGAGTGTTGAAGTTTTAGAAGAACAAAAGGAAATTAATTAATATTTTTAGAACCGCTCCAGATATTTCACTGATATTTAGTAAGTAGTGAAAGTTGATAAGGCTGCATATTTTTCAATGCAAAAATAATTTTTAGCTTTAACAGTGACGTACGTGCGGGTATTGATTGATATTTTTTAAGAAAAAAATGGTACGTCAATGGTTTTTTGCCAAATAAAAATTATTTTTGAATTCCCCGTTCAATTTAAAACAAATGATCTCTCTTGAATTATTTTCCTTTGATGCGCCATTTTTGGGTAAAAAAATAAAAACCGTTCTATTGTCTAACTTTCAAAATTATTATTAATTTAATTGGAAAAATTAATCCCTATTCGTTTTATTATACAAGTATCAAAATGTGGTTCAAGGCAATACTAAAATCTATTTTTATATCGGGTTTTCCAATAGGGACTTGACAAGTTTGAACTTTCATTGTGAACGAACCTTTGAATCAATTACCAAACTGTCAATGTCAAAACATTCAGTAAGGAAAACATTTTCATCATGGTGAAGTACACGAATGACCAACGCTTACAAATAATTAAAATTTACTGCCGAAATTCCGAATCGGTGACTGCAACTTTAAAGGAAAGTAATAGTATAAGGTCTATCGAAATAATACACCACAAACTGCCATCTATTACCTGTAAAAGTGAAAACTGCAAGCTGTATGTTGGAAAATTATGCTAGTTCGTATTGCCATTGTCACATTAGCTTTCGTTCCTCCGGCCACAGACAGCCAACCATGGGAAGCTGTTTCGTGCAATTTGGCAACTCTTCAGTATGGACTTTAGCTTGGTTTCTAAATAGCACGGAACAGCTACCCATTGTTGGCCATCATTAAAGCTACATTACTAGTTTGTTCAATGGCGAGTAGACCATATCTACTGTAGTACTACAATTGGCAGCATCTAGCGGCCACAGTGGTGACCCGGCTGACAGTGCGAATTGGCATACAGTTCCAACAGACAGATTGTCTTTTCACTTTCACAGTGGTCAATTCTGGCAATAGATGGCATATTCTGCTATCTGATCCACTTTACTTACTACACCTTACATAAGTTTAGCTAAATGCGCTTTTTCTTTCATTGCAGTAGGTAGACAATCTGAACTAACCAATCGTAAACCCGTATCGGATATCCCCCCACCATCGCTATCTGACCAATTCGGCTATGTTGTTGGCAAACAGAGCGAAGACGAACCCTGCGACCTTGAGGAGATACAACGCGGCCGTTGGAAGCGGATCATCCTGTTGGTGGTGGCGATCACGGTGCACAACATCCCCGAGGGGTTGGCTGTAGGGGTCGGATTTGGGGCCATCGGAACATCGCCGTCGGCCACGTTCGAGAGGGCCAGGTGAGTCGGAAATAGTTCAATACCTACCTAGGTTAAGAACTGGTTCATTATTGGCCAAGCCCTTTTACTAGTAGAAAAATTATACTCATCAAACATCATATTAGACATGTCAAAAATTGACAAAAGGTACTGATTAACATATTCCACCTGAAGATACTCAAATAAAATTGGCATTAGAGAGGCCAAGATCCTAGCCTCATCTAAGAGACGGTAGCAGAAAGAAGCACTTTTTAAAGTATATCTTTGAATTCATTTTTGTGTTCAGCTACTCTCTCATAGATGGCGCTAGTATACTTCAGATTGCCTTTTGGACACCGGTATGGTAGGGTTGATTCAAGAATAGAATATGATTTGTCAAACATAGCTGACAATGCTTGAAATGAAATGTCCCACTGATAAAATTTGTGCTCATAAAAATTGTTCACATTTTGTAGCATCCTTCCATACAATAAATCGCATATTATATTTGAATTATACAGGCTGTTTGGTACATGAACCAACAAATGCATCCAAATAGTACAATTGTTGTAAACCTTAATGCCTATCATGGTAGACAGGAGATGTAGTTAATCCAGGTATCAGGTGTCATTAGATTCGAATCAGCTTGCATAAGAGGTATCCCTAACCTGACCTTTTTACTGCTCTGGACTCCCTAACATTATTGTTCTCATCACGTGGTGGTAGGCATTTCGAAGAGTTTGTAACTGACTCAATATTCAATACAAACTGAAAAAATCGCCCAAAAAGATCAATAGCCCGACCAACTATTTTCTCTTTTTTTGACCGCACAAGACATTATTTCAATGATGTGTAGCATATCGTCGGAAAGGCAATAAATCACAGAAGTAAGTAAAACTAGGTTCCAAAAAAGGTATAGTTTTTTAAAAACCGAATTTCGAATTTGAAATTATTTATACACCCACGTGATTGTACGATTTTGGAAGGTCATAAGTCATTTGTTTGAGAAGATTTCAACGAACTGTTTATCTGATCTGATTGGGTATACATTACAGAACAGACTCACGTTTATTTTGTGTCATTATCTCTATAAACAAAAAAGTTATAACGATATTTATGCGCAATTGTAGGTAATTCAGCAAAAAAACGAAAAACTTTCATATCTCGGTAACCGTAGCCCTTATAGAAACATCATCAAATCGCTATAACAATTTTCTTGGTTCATGTATTAAACACCTTGTATATACCTACGCCAAGAAGTGGACCATTATTTCGAGCACTTTTATATCCTGTGCCGCGTAATGGAGGATATAATGTACCTTTATACAAACAGAACTTAATGTCGTAAAACCTATAACTAATTCCTTAGCAAATTAGCTTTTATTTACGCACGAGTTTATACGATTTAGGTTAGTTTCAAAATAGAAGCGAATATTAGAAATTATTTTTTTCTTCTTGAGGAAGCCGCCTTAGGGGTCACATTTACTCGTATATACCTTCCCTGAGGATCGACTGCTGTTTTAGGAATGATCTCTCCTTGGATTTTAAGTAAACAATAAGGCTTCCCTAAGGACTGATTTTACTAACACGAGATCCAAATTCTTGATCCGTATTGAAATGGACCAATGAGAAGGTATCTTTCTATTAATAGATCTAATGAATATAGTCGATTTTTTTTAAATATTTCTCAAACTAGCGAAAGAATACAGGTATACGATTTAGTGTAAGAAGGTCCTCTAATCCTCATATGAAATAAAGAATTTCTTTATAAATCACCTGGCTTAGCTACAAAAATATATTTTATCAGTTGATCCGGAGATTAAATCCTATGATCCCGATCATCAATGACCAATTAGAAAGAGTTTTCGTAAAACTGCATCGAAAATTGGCCAATCGAAGGGGAGCCTTCAATTTCTGCCCGAATCGTCGATCAAATCTGATATAATCCCTAGATTGACATGACACCAATTATTCAGGAAAAAAGGATGTATTTTATTAAATTGCCGTCTAATGTTGTAATTTGTAGATATATACTGACTGACAAAAAAGGTAAACACCTACGTATGTTTATTAGAATTCAAGAATTTCTCACATTTATCACGCCATGAACAACAAGTGATAAAATGGTCAGGTTTTGTTGGTATTGTTTGGTTATAAAGAAGCATTCAGTTTTCGTACATTTATGGTGTCAGTTAAATGTTAAACACCATCCAAAACCCGATTTTTCAGCAAGACAATGCCAGACCGGATGTTGCCAGAGCATCGTTAGCCTTCATGGATCAACATCGCATCAACCGTTTATCTTGGCCATCACGATCGCCTGACCTATCTCCATCTGAACATGTCTGGCACATGATAGGTCGCAGTCTCTTGAATTTGCCACACCCTCCACATATTTTAGCAGCTCTTACTCATGAAGTTGCAGTAGCCTGGAATGAGATACCTCAACAGGATATCGACCACCTTATCAGCACGATGCCTAGGCGTGTCAATCAGTGTATAAGAAACAGTGGATCCTCAACACATTATTTAACCAGCTTCTGCAGTCAGTTGACTAATCAACTTGAAAATTTAAACATTTTACTAGTAACGGACACTGAACATAATATATGTATATGTCAAAAATTATTAAAATCGAATAAACACACTTAACTTTTTTTGTCACTCAGTATATGAACCACTGTTTGCACACACATTCTCTGTGTGCGCGCGATATTTATACATAGTATTGGCAATCACATTTCTCGTGAAAGTATTTCGGTATCCATATAACGTATGTACGTTTCTTGGGGAAAAGAAAGAAGACAGGAAAATTTATATTATGTTTGAAACTGGGACTACCTTTTATCAGCTCAGCCGTGCAGTCACAGAACTGTCCAGTGCTACCACATCAAATTGTTCAATAAAAAGTCATAATTTGTTATCAGCATGGAAGAAACCTGTGGTTGTTGTATGTTGATCAAGTTCTGTAGTTATTTAACTATCGATCTGACGATATACAACAAACGATATCTCGCTCCTGGGTACGGCTTGGCCTTATTTAGAAAATTTGCTTACAAAAGGAGTTATTCAGTGCGAGCTTATTTTGAGTGTGATACCGAGTTTTTTTTGAGCTTGTGGTGAAAGTTATTTAAGGTAGTGGTTTTTAATAAAGTAAGTAGGTAGTAAGTTTCATCCGGATTTAAGGTAGTGGTTATTTATACAGTTACACCTTCTATTCAGGATAACTTCAGTTTTTTGGCATTTGACCAGTCCAATTAAAAATGATAAGTCAAGACAGATTCGTCAAAATCACTAAAAACTGCACAGACATTCGTCGCTGTCACCACAAACCGTATTGCAATGAAAACTATATTATAAACTAGATACGTCACTTATGTATGTTTAACACAGTTTGATTCCGATAGTTTCGTTGTCAGACTATTATAAGTGATCTGTAAGTAGACACACTATTTTTTGCGGCGTTTACATCGATATTTTATTATAATTTTGCGATGGATTCATCTTTATCAATCGCTGACTGAGATGTGGAAGTTGTCGAACAGTATCGTAGGCGTCGTGCTAGGAGACCCAGAATCGTTACATAGTTGGCGGGCCAAAGTAAGACTACCAGTATCCTTTCATATATTTCCATCTCCCTCATCCATACACATGCAACCTACCTCTGTGTGTGAACGTTTGTTCGGAAAGCTCAAAGACATACGTTATTTAGTTGTGTTTCTCCGTTTCGAAAACTTTGTCGTTACGTATGAGTGCGTTTCAATCATATTTGTCAACTTACTTGACATCGGCGTGCAATTCGAGTTGTCCTGTTATCAATCTTCATTATAAAATTGTACAGCGTGGCCCATACATATGTGGACCGAATATTAATCATAAATAAATACATTTTGGGAAAATCTATTTATGGGATGTGATACATGACATTTGAGGGAACATTTCTAAAATATTGGCCATTATACAGGGTGTTCCAATTTCGACCTACATATCAATGTTTTGATTTTTCAAATGGAATGCCTCAATTTTTATTGCATATTTGGATAAACCAATTCAAAAAAAGAAAATTGATATAAGATAATATGGGGTTTTGGTAATTAGCTATTGAGATATAAGGTGTTTTGTCGGGAAAAAAATCCCCACTTCCGCAACCTCTCAGTCCGCCATTTTGAAATTTGGAGTAGTATCAAAAGAAACTTGAACATCTCAGCTTTTATCTTATTTGTTACTTTTTCGAATTTTAATTTATGCGTATACAGGGTGGTCAAAAACGCAAATTGTGGTGTTTCTCATAAATTTCAAATACATCACCCTGTATATTTGTGCAAGTTAGGATTCAATTTTTTATAAGCTTTCTTTGATAATAAACTTATAAGGGTTTTTACGGCTATTTTTTCGGTTATCAGCACGTCTTTTATGGAACGGCTTAATTCCCTAAGATATCGCACCATCCTTTGAAACATAAATTGTTGATTAGTTACAAACTGTCAAAATTAGCTTTGTGGACATAATGATAAAAACGTGTTTGAAATTGAATTTTTCTTAAGGACAAATGGTGAATATGGTGTTCGCTTTGGGCGACCTCTTGTTGGTGTAGACTTTGTAGCATTCGAAAATATCCTAGTTTGTTCAAAGTACTGACGAATTTGTTCATATATGTATGCGTTCTAAGCGGGTAAGTGCTTATTGTTTTATTATTAAAAATAAAAGCACAATTTTCAAAACAAAGAATTGCTTCTAGTGAATGGAAATTGGGACACCCTGTATAATGGCCAATATTTTAGAAATGTGTCCTCAAATGTCATGTATAACATCCCATAAATAGATTTTCCCAAAATGTATTTGTTTATGAGTAATATTTCGTCCACACATGGATGGGCCATCCTGTACAATGCCCGGAAATACGATCAATGGAGAAGGCCGACAGCTCGTGCTAAATTTATTAGATTATTTCCAGCAAGAGAATGGAAAAACGGTCCCCTGTTACCCACTTCATGTGTACTGGAGAGAGTAGCAGATGCGCTGAAGATTAGACTGCGCAGTGTTCCGCCCATGGTACGGAGACTCGATCAGTTTACTTATTTCATATGACGTTGATGACGTAACCGGCAAGAACGGTGACTACACCTATGTCTGAATACACCCCCAACTCTAGCCGACAAAGAAGCACAAGAATGGATTTCCATTTTACATACTTTTCTTTTTCTTGAATAATTTATCTGGCTTCTAACATTTTTTCTAAAATTTAAAATAATTGCAGCCCAAAAACGTCTCTATTCACCTTGAAGGGCGATATGCTGATTAGGTACAGCAGCAAAAACATGTCATAATGGAAGATAATATAATTATGGAGTTTGTTGAAATCTACACCTAATGAACAACCAATATGTCCTTTTTTCAATTTTTTCAGGTGTTTATGTTTTTGAATTTGGTTCAGCTGCAAGGTTTGTGATACTTGTTTCCGATTGACCATTTTTCGATGCAGTTTTACGAAAACGCTTTTTAATTGGTCATTGTTGATCCGGATATTAGGGTGTGACCTCCGGATCAAGTGGAAAAATATGTCTTTGTAGCTAATCTAGGGTTGATAAAGAATTTTTTCATTTAATATGAAGACGAGAGGCCTTTCTTACAGAACCCGTATATTTTTTCGGTAGTTTGACAGATATTTTAGATGAAATCGACTATATAAATTTGATCCAATACTATTAAGACACCTTCTCATCGGTCTATTATGATGCGTATCAAGATTTTAAATCCCGCTGGTCAATACTAAAATCGCGCCTAAAGCTCGTTCAAGGGAGGATTTAACATTTGCATTTTACATTAGGTTGTAAGAGTTAGCAATTGGCTGCCTTTGGCCGGACGGTCGAAAGCAGCATGTTTAGTTGTTCAAAGGCGATTAGATGACCTATATTAAACTGCCAGAACCGTCGGCCTCCAGCGGTCATCGTGGTGACTTGGCCATGAAACGTGAATTGAGATTTTCACCTTTCCAACCGATAGCTGACATACACTCCCGCAGGGGTCTATTCGCTTTATGCTGTCTTATTTCGATAGCTCTTACCTCGGATAGAAGTTAGTTGCTATGATTTCGTTCAATGCCTCAGAGACCTAGATCATGCAGATGAGTTACCAAAAAGATAAGTTGATAAAAAAGCACGAAACAGCTTTCGATGATTGGCTGTCTGTGGTCGGAAATCGGAAGGACGAAAGCAGCGTGTTTAGTAATTACAGGTTTCTAAAATGTGTGGAATTTTTATAACTTTCGAAGTTTGTAAGATGTTTCTAAATTTTCAAAACTACCAAAGGTTAGATTTGACAACACCAAATATTTTGAAAATTTGGGGAGTTTGGAAATTTTGAAAATCATGAAAATTTTAAAAATGTCGTAAATTTGGAATATGTATATTGAACATTCTGAAGGTCTTAGAAATTCAATATACTCTGAAATGCAAATGTTCATTATGGTTTGAACATTCCTTAAGGAAGCGTTATTGTTTGTTTAAAAACCAGGGTGAGACAATTTCCACATAAGGCAGTCAATCCTCAACGAACGCCTATGAAGGTGACACTAAATAACTTTGATATAAGCTGTATTTGAACATTGGGGTAGATGAAGCGTTATCGATGCTGGATCTATTAACTATTAGATGTGTCTTCCAATATACCGTTTCCAAACCTGTTATATAAACTGGATATGTCATTTTATGTTCTGGGTAAGCATTAGGTAATAAGTATATAAAACAAAATCACTTCAATTATGAATCGTTACAGATAGCCAATTAACGTTTAGAAAGCAGTGATGATTTTTTATGAACCGATTATTATTGCAACAATAATTTGCAGCAATCGATAATCATAGCTATTTAAAGCCATAAGCTTGGCAGTAAAGGACATCTGCATATTTGCTTACCAATTTTTTCAATTGCCGTAAGACTTCTGTAATACATATCTGATTTAATCGTTACGATAAGTTGACAAGTGCCAGGTTTTTTTAAACAGTGATATGTTAATTGCAGTTCAGTCACATACAGTTTGATTTGAGGAAAACTAAGCTTCGTCATCAATCAAGCAGAATTTTGCATTCGAGATGTTTAAGCCCGTATAGATAAACAAAGTTGCTTATTCATAAATCGGATTTGAGAAAACCGAGAATGTTGTGTTCATATAGCAATACCGATTTGATACTATAGTCTAAGATCAGGCCGGCAGGTATCTGCTTATTATTCATAAACTTGATATTTATGAATGATAAAACTAGTAGAATAGATCCCAGCAGGGTTGCCTGGCAAAATTTAGCCGCAACTACCTGTAATTAGATAAGAGTAAGCATTTAGTAGCGGCTTGGTCGATAACTGTTATCTGTAAAATTGTAGCCAAAAGTATGCTTAGGTATTACTTGGAAAATATTATATCTGTACAGGGTGATTTATAACTA